GCTGCATGGCGCGAGCCTTTGTGGCGCTTCACAGCTGACGTGACCGAGAGTGTAGGTTAACCATAGAGGTTAACAAGGGCGCTGATTAGAAGCGCTCGTCGTTCCATGGCGCTTCGCCGCGCATCGTCGCGCTTCTGGTGTGTTCTGGGCGTTATAGTCTGATGTGTAGATCATTTAGTTGAAATTTCATGTTTTTAAAAATATTTTGTGATTCCCATCTTCATCTTCCTTAAGATTGGTTGGAAGGCGTCCTAGCATCCCCTATGGATGAGCCGCCACTGGCCAACTGTAATTTTGTTGTCTCGGTTTCAGTCATCGTGGGCCGGTATGGCCCTGGTGCGTTGCCAGTTGGACTCTCACTTGGCAAGTGGTGTTAAACATGTAGCAGGAAAATCATCATGCTCAGAAACAAAAAAGAATCAAAGAATACAGTTAATGCTTCAGAAGGCCTACTTCATGCAAATTTCACTCAAAAGTTACAGTTTGGGAACACAAATGAACTGCAAAACAGCCACACTTTATTTTCATAGCTGTTAACAGCAGACTTTACAGACATGAGACTGGAAAACACTCAAAATGAACCCATCACACATTGAAACAGCTCACAAACACGATGAGGGTGCAGCGTGAAGGTCAAAGTCAAGGTCTGTTTGCAGACAATACATGTGCTGAAGGCAGATCAAGCTGTCGGAAAGCCCTGCATGGGGTCCAACATGTAGCTTTATTCAATATACGACATGCCCTGTAGCCCCAGTGCCGACTATGCTGGGAATGCAGGGTCTTGAGGGGTGAAGGTTTGGGGGTGGGGGAGGAAGGTGGGTGAGCAGACAGTACAAACACAGCTTGAACATGTTTTCACATTTGCATTCAATTGAACTTGTGTTGGTCCTTCAACTTTTCCTTGTAATGAAATCTGTGTAAATAATCAGTGTTCCCACCTTTTCCTTAGACTGTTTTTAAACGTCCTGCTTTTGGGAGAGTCCTGGCAGACAGCAGACCAGACTGAGACCCTACAGGGTTTGGCCTGAAGAGCAAGTGGGCCTCTTTAGACACAGCGGGGACTCAGCTTGGGAAGCACAGGACCCTGTTCTGTTCTAATCTCACTCTACTACTTTCAAAACTTCTGATCGTTTTGGTATAAAGTTTAAAACACGTGCACTGTGTAATCGTTTGCCTGACACTATACCTTCTCTTTTGCATTTTGTTATGTTCACACAGAACACCTCGCCACCCATCTCTTGTTTTGTTCTGAAGCCTTCTGTTATGCTGAACTTCCTGGAATCCCCGTTTGGGCAACAGCGTGACTTCGAGTTCCCCTTCTTGCTCGTGACTTCTTACATGTCAATATTGTGATAGAAGCTTTGTGCGTCTGTAGCATTACTACTTCCTGTACCAGATACCATCCAGAACGATTCACTCTGAAGCATTCATTTCAGTGTTATTGTGTTAGTGTCTAAATCTTTCCTGTTGTAGTTTCTTAAACAGCTTTAGTTTTAGAGACATAGTGTTTATGTCCTGGATTGATGAGCTAACGGCTAGAGCTAAGATAGCTTCCCTCTTACAAAAGCTCCAACAGCATACCAATTCATTTCAAACCTTTACACCACAACATTTTCACATCACATGGTTGTTCACAAGCACAAAAATCACTAGGAAAGGAAAAAAACATGCCATAAAACTTCCTGGTGATTCTGCGGAAATAACCATTTTAATGTGAACTTCATAATAATACAAACGTCAATGATAAAAGTGAATCATTATGAAAGATTGAAGCAGCTGGTTGCTCATAGCCAGTCACACCTACAGGACATAAACTGTATTTTTCTAAACAAAGTCCAGTCAGGGAGTTACTTTTAATGAAACACTCTGTTTCTTTTCTTCTCATTAAAGGACTGTTTTTCCTTCCCACTGTCACTCTGAATGTAGGTTATAATCTGTTGGTTTCATTGCAAAGTTTTATAACATGTTAATAAGTCCGACTATAATTATACAAAATTAAGGATAAAAGAGTCCGCATATTTTCCCCTTTATGAAAACCATAAAATAATTAAATACATGAATAAAAATGGTAATATAACCAACCCCTTAACATTTCATTTTTTGAAAAAGGCAGAAATACCCTTTTAGTGAAGACAGAAATAGAGTCAATCAAGCCTGGTGCCTTATGGAGTTAACTTGATTAAATATTTGAAAACAACATTGCCCTATAAACATATTCTCTATCATAGCACATCATTTTGCACAGTGTTTTGCCAAATTATCCTTACATGAGCATTTCAAAGTCATTCAGTGATATTTATAACAGTAATTACTGGGAGATGAACATATAAGCAGTAGCGGTTTTACCATTAGGCATAGGTCGGCGGTCGCCTGGGGCCCCCTTATGTTGGGGGGCCCCCTAGCCCTGACTGCTGGCACCCCTCTGCTAATGCCACAATGGACTATTCCTTAAAGACGCTGATGCACAAGCAGGAAGTGATTGGTAGTCATTCCACTCCAATCTAGTTGGTGGCAGTAATGCACCAAATTGTTGTTTGGCAAGTGCCATAAGACCACAAATAAGAAGAAGATGAGAAAGCAGAAAAAGAAGAAGAGAGGCGGGAGCGTTCGTAACAAACTTGAAGCAGTAATCAAAACATTAAGCAGGAAATGAAGTTATCCTAGTGGCTCCAATAAGAGAAAGAAGAAGAAGAAAATATCATCTCTATAGCGTTTCTCAAGATAAAAATCACGAGGCACTTCACAAAAACAAAAAATGTAAAAATATAAAAAATAATTTAGAAAATGGTTAAAAATATATTTTAAATGAGCAAAAAATTACTGCGTAGTAGCACAGTGGTTAGAAGCAGCAAGAAGGTCCTGGGTTTGCTTCCCAGCCTGGGATCTTTCTGCATGGAGTTTGCATGTTCTCCCTGTGCATGTATGGGTTCTCTCCGGGTACTCCGGCTTCCTCCCACAGTCCAAAAACATGACTGTTAGGTTGATTGGTCTGTCTAAATTGTCCTTAGGTGGGAGTGTGTGTGTGTGTGTGTGTGTGTGTGTGTGTGTGTGTGTGTGTGTGTGTGTGTGTGTGTGTGTGTGTGTGTGTGTGTGATTGTTTGTCCTGTGTGTCTCTGTGTTGCCCTGCGATGGACTGGCACTCTGTCCAGGGTGTACCCCACCCCCCACCGCACGGCGCGACCCTACGTGGACAAAGCGGGTTCAGACAATGGATGAGCAAAAATTAGACATTTGTGATTAAAAAATGTAAAGGAAAAAAAAAAGAGAGAGAGTGAATAGGAAAGAGGGAAATCAGTGGATCCTGAGGAAGGTGGAATAGGTGGGGAGAGCAGAATAAAGAGATAGTGGTGAAGAAGGTCATACAAAAGCCAGCTTGAACCATTGGGTCTTCAGCTGCTTTTTAAAGGAGTCCACTGAGTCCACTGATCTCAGGCTCAGGGGGAGAGAGTTCCAGAGTCTGGGGGCCACAGCAGCAAATGGTCAAAGCAGCTTGCTTTGAAACAGTTTTTATCTTCACTTCCGAAAGTGACGTCGTTTTTCAATGTAAACATCAGGAAGCAGAAAAGGAAAGACAATGGAAAATAGTTAAAGGGCGGAAAACATAGACCAAAACGGAAAATAGAAGAAAAAAAAGAAAGAAAGGCAAAAGCACAGGAGCACTGACAGGAAGAAGAAAGCAGAATAAAGATTGAAGGCACTCAAAGGGACAGAAAGACAGGAAAAAAAGAGGAGGACAAATAAAAATTGAAAATAACTCATGTCAGAAGAGGGTAGTTTTGCAAATCCAGTTAAAGACAAGATTGTCAAAAATTTAGTGTAAAGCCGGGCATACACTGTGCGACTTTTTCACTTTTTTGAACCGATTTTCCACTCGTGCGAGAATCCACGAGATCGGGGCGAGTTTTGTGCCGAGCGTCGTGTAGTGTACAGGGGGTTACGAGAGGCGATTAACACCACGTGACCAGCTACCGATCAGCAATCGTGAGCTCGCACGGACTTCTGCCGTGTTTAATATTTTGCCCGTCCCTCATGAGGGTATCGCACTGTTGAAGCGGTGCTGCGAGCAGCTGCGACCCAAAATGTATCAGAACCGCTCATGGCGCATGCGCAATCCTGCATCAACACCGCTCCCCGCTATTTCCTTAATAACCATAGACTGTACATACGGCCACGTGGGTCGGATGCTCATTAATTATACAGAATTTTAGGCTTTCAATGCACTTAAACAGAAGAGTGAGAAAAAAATTCACCCCCCTCAGAGTTGTCATGAGTTTAGACTAGATCATTTAGACGAAAAACATGTTCTGGTACCAGGCTGTAAACATGTTTATTTCTGCTGTGAAAATGGCATTTTTAACATGGGAGACAATGAGGATTTGCTCGCTTCTGGCTCCAGCCCCCAGCAGATGAGGGTGGAACTGCAATTTCTCTTACTTCCGGGATGGGACCATTTTTAGAGCCGCATTGTGGGGGCTTGTTAATAACACACATTGTTCGTTTTAATTTCTACATGTTTTTTTACTTACAAAGATTGTCAAGAAAGCGTGTTTGTCATGTTCATGTCAAATTAAACTGATCACAAAACACAGATTTATACATAAATCCCTGTGTGTCCTCCTGCAGCACTCCCGAAGGACAACAGGCAAAACAAGACAAAAAAGTCTGACGTGTTGTGTAAAAACTGCTATTTTTAGCATATTTTTAGGTCCAACGTGTTGCTACCAGACGTACAGTGTGAGCAGTCAGGTCGCATCCGAGAACTGGGTCATGCAGTGTGAGCGCCTGGCTCGTGAGATCTGCCCTGCGAGGAAGTCGTACAGTTTGAGCTGAAGCTGAGTGCTACGAGTGAAAAAGTCGCACAGTGTACGCCCGGCTTAAGGAGCCCCATGTCTTGGTTCACCTTGGGCCCCCAAATTGCTAAATCCGCCCCTGCGTGTAAGGACCTGTAATATAATACGTTAGTAATAAATACATATTTGTTATATGTTTTAATGAAACTTTGTTGTCATAAAGTAGATTTTTAAGTTAAAAAAAATTTCACGCTGCATGAACGCTAAGGGTTAAAACCACGCAGCTTTACGCGCAGGTGTCCGTCACTTCTCTGTGAAACAGCGTCTGAAAACTTGACAGACCTTTTTTTAATTAAGTTGATCTGACTGTAACTCTTCCGGATTTGCTGTCCGTGCAGACAGGTCACTGTAATTCATGTAGCCAGAGCGCGAGGGGGTTTTACGCACCGCAGAAGGTTGGCCAAAGGAGAAGAAGCAGATCTGGAGAACTCCTCAGATCGGGTCCGGTTCGGCACGCTCCTTAACGCAGCATCTAATCCGAATGACTAAAACGTTCACTACTGTGCGGAATTTGGGGAGTTTTCAGTTTTTTTAATCTTGTAATTTGCGCAAAATCCTTTGGATCTCCAGCATTTTGGAGTCCGCTGCTGTTCCGAGATGTGGTGGATGCTGTTCCCCCGCTGGATCTGGTTTCTCGGACAGTGTAACATTTTACTGCTTTTTATGGACCGCTGCCGTGTGTCAGCAATGCCCCTGATGTCTGTAGCAAAGGTGGTGTACTCTCACGCAGGTATGTGTCCGAATGATCTGAACCCCAACCTGTGGGTGGATGCCATGAGCACCTGCATGCGCGAGTGCGAATCTGATCAGGTGAGTCCTCACTCTACCAGATTCCTCGTTAATGTAGAAGCTTAGAAGTCAAAGTAAAGATGCTCAGTTTAATTTTAATTTAGAGGTCAAAAATTCAACCGGACCCTCAAACAAACAAACAAACAAACGTTTGCTTTAGAAAACTGACTGTTGTAAACAGCAAAAATATGGTGAAATATTTTTTGATCTTTGGGAAATTTAACACAACAGAAAGTGGAATTATGAGTTAACTCCTTATTACATCAATGTTTTATAACCAACAGCTGTGTTTCAGCAAGAGTTGAAATCATCTAGTAAATATGATGAGTTTTAATTACATATTTAGCTAGAATTT